CCTTCTGACCCTACCAACTATGAAACTATAAAAAAAAGTTAGGAAATGACCAGTCTCAGAAAGAAATTCAAGCACAAATACTAGTGGTCTTTGAGTATTAAGAGAGTCATATGTAAGTCCAGTCATCTCTAAATTCCTGAACCTTCATTTGATGCAACCAGTTTCAGTATTGGCTAGTATCCATTATGGTTTAATCAGAAATATTTATGGCAAGAGCAAAAAATTATATAGATCAATATCCAAATTCAATTAGTATTTGCTCCTTTCAATAACAAGTCACATCTGTAGTTACTTCTAATTGCGGCATGAAATGTCTGTAAGGCAACAATGTTCAATTTTTACAGACACCAAAAAACCAGTAAAGTGGGCCTTCACTTTCTGAAATGCAAAGAGGAAATCACTGACTATACACACAGGTTTCTGTAAAATAACAATTCATAATATAAACAGTGAATTTTGTTAAAAGTTAAAAAACCCAACTTTCTACCAACCTGTACAAAGGCAGCGAAAATTCTCACATGTCTTTGGGCACACATCAGAAAACAACTCAAAGACCACTCTTCCAGCTGAAAAAAGAACCCCACACATTAATATGGTTTACTTGTATATATGTATTACTTATCAAGTATAAATATCAATGTCACCATTTAATCTAGAAATTTAGTTTAAATTTTCTTACCAGGTACATTGTTGATGGCTATGTCAAAAAAGCAACGAGGTCGCTGGACCTTTACTCCCATGGCTTCAAAATTTTAAATACTGCAAATATAAAATGTAAAACTGAGTTTTTCCTGTGTGATATAACTATATTTACTTATCTCAGTCTGGAAGTTTTTTTCTAAAAGGGAAAAAATGGTTATCTGGAAATACAAGTGTGCAAAACTGAACATAGAGAAGAAATTATATTCCTGCCTTTAAGCTGTTTTAAATATGAAATTATGCAAGTTAGATTTGTGTTCCTTGGACCAAAAGGAAAATAACTTGTGAAAGTTTTCTGTGCACATGAAGCTTAACTTAAAATACAACAGATGGGAATATTTGATCACAAGTTTTACAATATGTGATTTTTTTTCAAAGCTCCAGGAACTGTAGTGAAGTTGATTACTTCTACTGTGATAGCCTACAGAAGCCCCTATCGACCCCAGTGTGGTAGCTACTGTACAGGGAATGAACAGAAAGCCCTTGTTTCAAAGAATTTACAATCCCAGACATGAAATCTCAGCTTTCATTTTAAAAGTTCTGTCATAATTGTAAGAAAAAAAAATGACAACATAGGCATGTGAATTCTAAAGACTCAAAAAACAGAAAGCAAATAAAAAGTACCATCTATATGTCTTAAAAATCATAATTAAAAAATGATCATGGTTTTTATAGAGTCAGACTCTCAAACTGTGAAGGTCTGGAGTTAGCAACATTGACTTGTTTCACATTTAGAGTTTCAACTTCAGATTCAAGACTGAATTTCAACAGAAGAAATATTAAGGGAGATTGCAAAGTATGAAGAACACCATATCAGTTGATGAGAATGACATTCAGCTTCTTTAGCTGTTTAAAAAAAAATATGCTAAAAAAATTAGAGGATTTAAGGGAAAAACACCAGAGACAGTAGCCTGAGTTGTTCTGTTCTCCTCTACATAGAACAAAAAGGTAAGCCCTGTAAAGAACTTTGACAATTGCTCCCAGATCTCTTGGATCTTTATACCCAAGGCAGAATAAAGTCAGGGATGGAAAAAGAGTTCACTTTGGGGCCAGAAGTTTATGTATTTGAGCAACTGATTAAGACTGCCTTTGTACTATTTATTTAGTAGTAGGGTTGGAGTTCTGGTGGATCCATGATGGTCCAGGAAGAGATTACAGCTGGTTCAATAAAAAGTATCACATAAATAGTTGAAAGAGCTGATGGACAAGCTTTCAACTATACAGTTAGTTCGGTAAAAGATATCACTGAGAATCTTGGCATTTTTTAGTATTCAGTACTAAAGACAATCAATTTCTCAGAATGAAAAAGCAAATTCTTACTGACAAAATCTGAATACTTTTTGCAGGATTATGGAGTAAGAATAAAGTCAAATTGTATGAGTCTATGTAAGGTAATATTAAATTCATGCAAAACCACAATTTGAAGGATCCTTATTAACCAGCATGAGCCATCTGCATGTATTATAAAACAGGAACCAGAGACCTAGTAAACTGTTAAAACCTGCGCAGTATATGCAAGCTT